GGGAGGAAGGCTGCCTGGCTGCCAAACCTAAAACCTTTTTCGTTGGGGTTTTAAGAGAAAGCACGTTTAAAATTATATATATATATAAAATATGCACACGTTCTCCTGGCTGGCAGGGCAGGGAGACTGAATGGAGCTGCTCTCCCGCTTGCCGAGCCTTCCCTTCGGGGCAGCTGCCGGCCGGGCCCCCGCCTAGGCGAGGCGGCCCGAGTCCTCTTCCTTCTCTCCGGGGCGAGAAGAGCGAGCGGCCGCTTTGTTGCGAAATGTTGGCTTGTCCCCGTCGTCGGCCTTGTGGAATTTGCGGAAGCTTTTTTCATTCATAACGCGATCAGAGGTGAAAAGGTGTCCAAGCGGCACTTTTTCGAAAATGCAAGTTTTACTGGGCATCACCTTTTTGTGGACTGCCTTCCGTGATGGGTTGCGACCCGTGTGGCTTTACATTTTGGAACCCCTCTCGGTTTTGAATTTGGTATAAACTTTTTGTGGCGGTTATCCCACTTCATCTCATGCATATAGAGTATAATCGACAAGGAAACGATGCCAAATAAAAACTTCCTGGTCTGCTACTGTAAACTAGCATAGTTTCTCTCCCCCACCCCACCCCACCCCACCCCACTTCCCCAGAATTATATTGTAGTAAAATAATTAGTAGGCACTAAAATTGAGATATTATTCCCCCTCCCCTTTATTTGGCTGCTGGTGTCTCTGTAACTTTCAACGGATGTATTAAAACTCCTTTTCTAAAAGAAGGCATGCTTTTGAGGCTGGGTTTCATAGACTACTCATGTATCCCAGGGATCAGAGTAATCCCTGTTTGTAAGAACCATTTAAGCTGAGCTCTGGCTGTCGAAACCCAATCGTGCAGTTTTAATGAGCACTAAGCAGTGGTAAGCCCTTTCTGAATAATATACCCTGTGCCTAGAAAACCTTGGAAAGGTTTGCCATGAATCAGAATCAAGTTGATTGAATGCTCAAAGCTGTGGTTTAGGTTTGTTCAGAGGCCTGAGCTGCTCCATGAAGGTGTCCGATTAAAAAGAAGTTTATATTGGCCTCTGGGATCCTTGTATGAAAAAAAATTTCAACATATTATTCAGTGTATGCAACAAAGAACATATGTGGTGCCCAAAAAATGTTTGTTTTGAGATTGCAGTTCCCAGTATCTCCCAAGGCTAGCAGACTCTTTCTTTAAAAGTCAGTGAGTGTTATAAGTAAAAATATACAGTGTTGCTACATGATGAAAGATGATGTCCACTCCTAATTGCTGTTCACTGCACCTGCATCAGCAGTTTGATACGTGATATCTGAATGCATATAATTCTTACACAATTTGTCAGTGTGGCTTGTAGAAACTAGTCTTATTCAAAGTAATTGTGTAGCAATTCAACCCTGAAAGCAATTCTCAGTGTTTCTCCTGCCAAGTGTTGAAAAGGTAACTCATTTCACAACGCTCCCAGTGTAGGATGATTATCAAGTGTCTGATTGCCATTCTGTTTGCTCAATTAAATTCCCATGCCTATTTGGTAAGGCTGCAATCCTAAGCGTGTGTGCTGGGAAAGCTAGTTGACCTTGGTGGGCCTTGCTTCAACATGAAGACAAGCATGAGACAATCCTTTCATTGTATAGCATGGGGCTATAAAGTGATGAAACAATGAGTGTATAAGGCATTTTTTCATCTCCTGATTGAAATAGGCAGAATTTGAAAAAGCTGCGGAGGAAGTTAAGAATCTGAAGTCAAAACCAACAGATCAAGAAATGCTGGAGATCTACAGCCACTACAAACAGGCTACAGTTGGTGATGTAAATACAGGTATGACAGAATAGGCTTAAATTTGGAAGATACTTGTTGGACAAGAAACAATGGGAGAACTCTTGAATCTTTCAGGCTAGCCTAGCTTTCTGAGTTGTTTCAAGAACCATGTGCAGGAAGTTCACATTTGTGATCCTCTTTGCTGATAGGTTTCATGGTGTATGGAATTTTTGTCTACAGCGTGGACTAATGTGAGCATGTACAGTATTCTCAATACGGAGCTCTTTCATGCCTAAGGAGGCTTTGCCTATAGGTCAAAGTCCCTTAAGTCTGTGAGCATCTTGTTTACTTGAAAGCAACTTGTTTGAAGGTTGCCATTGATGACCATAACCAAGGTCTCATATCATAATAATAAAAGTGTTACTTAGTACTACATATAAACAGAGCATGAAGCTTCAGCTAAACTTTCTTGTCTGGGATGTATGCAAACATCCACAAGCCTTTGAAAATACACAAAGTGTGTCTAAATTGTTTCTTTAAAAATAACCCATGAGGCAGTTATAATCATAGAAACATGAAGTTGGAAGGGGTCTACAAGGCCATCTAGTCCAACCCCCTGCTTAATGCAGGAATACAAACCAAAGGAGAAGAGTAGAACTGTGCCTGTGAAAATGTGTCCCTCCATTTTTCAAATCTCATCACTGTGAGATCCGTGGTTCTGTCTGTTGCACCATCATTTAGAGAGATACAGTGCCTTGCATCCATCGAAAGCAACCTGTAAGGAAATGCAGAGGACATTGGTCGTAGATAGTGTGCTCTGTTGGCAGACATCTGCAAGCACAAGAAATTTCCCTTACCCCACACCCAGCCATCAGCTTTTCAGAAAGTGTAAGGAAGGGGAATTTGACCTATCAGCGGGGTCTGTTCCACAGGTGGAATGTTACCACTGGACCTATTTTTAGGATTCTTCATAGTCTTAAAAAAATTGGACTGATCCTCCTAAAATGATAGAAAGTCCAAGGGTGGTTTGTCTTGGAGTACTGCTTGCAGAAATATTCTACAGTAAAGCACAGCAGGAGTCAATATTGTCTCATTCTTGGAAGGCCTCCATCACATTGGGAAATTTGGAAATGCCACTCTAGTTCAGGGAGTTGCCTAACTAAAGATTCTGGTCCAACTTGCTATCAGAAAGCTTGGGGCAACTTTCAGAAAATTTTATAGATTTAAAATGTGAAGAAGGAGCTAAGAGAGAATCTGACTCAGATTTGCTTTTTTAAAAAAAACTGCAAATATCAATTTGCAGCACACCATAAAATGAGGAAATAACCCAACAAGAATACGCCACTGTAATATGATGGGAGGGGCAGTTTGATGTAGGAAATAAAGTATCAGACTAGGACTCGGGAGACCGGGGTTCAAATGTGCACTTGGTCATAGGAACTTAGTAGGGAGCAGTAGTAAAACTCCTTATTGGCATACTTCCCAAGGTGAATGCATTCCACCAGGTGGGTCTCGCAAAGAGAAGGTCTACCTCTGTGTTGCCTCTGAATAGATATCTGTAGGCCTTGGCACAGACTACAGGCCACTCGGCTGTTGATATTGAAGCAGGTGTTTGTCCTGAGTTGCATGTAGCTTTGTATGGTAATAATCTTAAACCTCACTTGGTAAGAGAGTTGTTTGAGGGTGGGGTTTGATAAAGGCCTTTAATCTAGCATTCACGAAAGGGTATAGTGGCTGCTGGAATTATGGCTGCAGCTTTTGAACTGGTAGTGATGTAAACAAGAGAGTGGTCTCCCTTACAGTGGAGCTTCCTGTTGGACAGAGTCACTGCACTTCAGGATTATAGCCAACTCCTTGTTTTTTTTCTGGGAACGGTATAGTATGCTGTTATAGTATCTTTCTAGTTATATGGGATATGGGGAGTATGTAACTTTTGAGTGATCCAGTAAAGACAGTATTCAGCACAGAACACCTGTGCGAGTCTGCTTCTGTAGGTGTGTTGCTACCTTAGTACACTCCTCAGCATTCATCAATATTTGCGAAACACATGTTGAAAGCTTCACTTAGTTTCTGCTTTCAGTTGCTGGAGATGAGATAGCAGTCTAGTGCCTTACTAGTTCAGCGCTTGAGCCTAGCCTTGAGCATTATGCTTGGATTTCGTATCTCAAGAGGAAGGCAATCTTCCTGATGCCCTGGCAAAGGAGAGATGGAGTACTTATAAATTGTTGTGTCCAGCCAATTGATTTCTACTCCAGAATCTGTATTTTATGTCATATCATGTTGGCAAGGAAGGGTTTTTTGAACATTCTTGCAGGAGTATGTAAAAATTGGTTAAGTAAGGATGTGCCATAAGTATCTGTGTGAAAGGGCCCCAGAAATGTCTTTGGGGGCTGAGAGAAAAAGATGCGTGTTGTATAATTTTAGAAACAAACAGGCATTTGGCTTTGTGCTCATACAGAGCATTATGCAAACACCCTTCTTGTAGTAATCATGAAAACAAATGCATATACATGGGGCAAGTCTTTGTTATTTTGTTTAACAATGTCAGGCGCCATCTGATCTACTAACACGCTTACTGATTCAGAGACTATCGGGGAACTGACCTCCTTTCTGAAAGTGCACAAATCGTACATAAAGTGAGGTAGAAAGTCTTAGTTTTGCTTTTTCTGCAACTTTTACCGAAAAGGGGCAAAGAAGTTGTATAATGTCGTTGTACTAAGTAATAATGGCCTTCCCTGTCAGTTTACTTCCCAACAATGCTGATACTGTTTGAGATATTGAGAGGAGGAAGGCAATCTGACTCTCTTGGCCGATCTACAGGCTGGCATCTGTGGTGGCAGGCTAAGGACAGTCACCTCACTTTTCTCACAGGTGGCACTGCCAACTAGCGCTAAAGGTCACTCACTGTTCTTTAGAAGCAGCTTGTTTTCTTTCATGATCATATGGCCAGTCTTCTTACACATGTTGAATGCCAATTACTTTGAAATGCTCAAGTTCTGTAAGCCACAGCCCATGGCCCTGTAGCCTTTCCCTCCCCCCCCCAGCCCAAAAGCTGAGGCGTGGGAAGTAGATCAAGAAGCAGTATTGACACATTTTGGCCTTTTTCCCAGAGGCCTCTGAAAGAGCGGGAAAGTACAGTTTGCCATTCTCCAGAAGAACAAGTTGCACCAAATGTTACCTCCTTCCCCCAAAAAAGAAGTTGTGATTGGGCAGGTTGCCATGGAAAAGCGATCTGTCCTTAGTGGCCTAGTCACTAGAACCTAGCAAAGGTGGACATGATTTGACTGAGAGTCGGTAAGGTCATTGTGGGCTCTTTGTTCAGTCCCATTTTAGGATGAGATTGTCATGTGTTCTTGCAAGATGTTCCCAGGAATTACTGAGAATCCAAGGGCCTTGAACATCTGAAAGACAGACCTATATTGAAAGTAAACTTGTGCCTTTGGCAGAGGTAATGACCACCAATGTTACTTTTAAACATTGGTCAAAATATGTTGCTTAGCATTGTGAATCATACTACAGTAGGCCCATTGAATCACTGAGAATTTGGTGAGTCAACTCGTCTGTACCTTCCATTGATTTAAACAGGCTTACCCTGACTTGTGATCTAAGGTCATCTCACCTCCTTCAGAATCCCTGTGAGCATCATATGTCAGAAGTGACTTGATGCCTGTAGCGGGCCACTCTGAAGCCTCTGCCAACTCAGGCCTCCAGGAGTGCTCACTACTTTTCTTCAACTGCTGCCACCAAAGATTATTCAATATTTAAAAAGGACAAGTGTTTCTTCCAAAACAAAACTTGTTTATTGATATAATAAAATAAAATTAGTAAATCACAGGTAGATAATCAAGTTGTAAATCACTGTTTCTCATTCGTTAAATCACACAGACTTTTCCTCTCTGACTATTTTGGCTCACAGGCCTCCAAACATGCTCATCACTAACTCTCAATCCATCTATCCATCTCTCACACATCACACACCCCTATATATATTCCAGCTCCTCCCCCTTCTGCACCACCCTCCGTCCCCTCATTGGCTGATGTTCCACTGCCCAGCTGTGACGGACAGGTGAGAGCAGGGCTGTATGTTACAATGCCTCATAACAGCAATAGTATAAATAACTTGTAACTGTCCAATCTATCAGAAAAGGTGTAAGTTGCACATCTTTGACATCACAACCTGGCTAACTTGCAGCAGAGAGCTACTTCCTTGGACCAAAAGCACATGAAATTTGGTATCTTTTTTTCCAGAAGGGTGCGTGGTAGATGAACCATTGCTGAGTCCTCTTATATAGTACTAGATTTTACTCTGATTTGGAATGAGCCGAGTTGCCTTCCATTTTATATATAAAAATTATTTCACATATCACTTTTCTGGAACAATAATTAACAAAACAAATGTTTAACTAATTAGCATACTCTTGAGCAAGGAACAAAAGTGCCACATTGACTAGGCAGTCTTAAGACTAAAATGTCTTTGCAGAGGAAGACCAAGAAACAACATCATCAGTAGCAGATTTTCATTGACTTGCTATAAATGACGTAATTTTTCAACCAGGATGCTAAGTTTAATAAGAATAGCCAGAATAAGGTCTTCATTAGATAGTGAGATCTTATCTACCTTGATGCAACCTAAAGCTTCTGCTATCACAGATAATATGCACGCTTGACAAAATTCAAACATGCTATTGGATTAAGGTTATATTTTTCATTTAATATGCTTTTACAGCCAAGGGATATATAGACTCATACTGCTTCCAGTGTCACAATGAACATGCATATCTGTTCCAGAAACATCTAAAATCCCAATGGACAGCTTGATTTCTAATATTAGTGTGCCTCTTTTTAATACTGAATTTGCTTTTTAAAAAAATGTTTTAAATAGGATTCCACCTTGCAAGCGAATGCAGCTTAGCTTTGTTTGTGATAATGCTTTAATGCAACTGCTGGTATAGGATAAAAAACAGTGTGTGTGCCTAAAAACTCTGTTTGAAATGTTGTGTTTCAGAACGTCCTGGAATGCTTGACTTCAAAGGCAAAGCCAAATGGGATGCCTGGAATTCTTTAAAAGGTAAATCTTTGGCAAAGATTGATGAAATGGCAGCTGTGATCAGAGGCATAGAGTGGGGTGACTTAACCAAGGCTTGGGCTGCAAGTAGAAGGGATTTCATCCTGTATACCCTTTGGCAGGCTATATATATTGCCAGTATTAAATGCAATTGACCTCTGCACATGCTTCAGTTACACAAGGGAGAAGATCTCCAGAAGTTATCTAAAATTATAATAAGCTAACTTGTTCATAGCCTTTAGTGTTGCTGTCTAGACAAAAAAATTATTGGGATATTGTTTCTGCTGCTGGCTTGCTGCTGATCCCACCTAGCAAGAAACTGATACTTGAAAAGGGGGTTTTAAGAAGATCATGTGTACAAACCAAAAAATAAAAACCTGCGGTCACCTGGAACTACTGGGAAGCTGCTTCAGTCAACCCCTAGAGCAGGGATGGGCAAAATGTGCCCCCCCAACATCTCCACATTCCCCAGAGATTAGGGGCAAAAAACTGCTCAAAGCCCACAAGCACCCACTAAAGAGTCTGAGAGGCAGCACTGCCATGTTGGAGAGGCACCAGCCATGGTCTCCTTCCATATCCACAAAAAATGTGACCAGCACAGAATGTGCATTAGACATGCGGCTTCCCTTTATGTTGGGCTGCAACTTCAGAATTCATGAAGCTTGCCCACAAGCAGAACCTTGGGAGCTGCTGCTCAAGAACAGTAATTTGAACAAGAGCTTTTTTTCATCTCCGTGCAGGGCTCCATCCCCTATCTGTTGACCTTTCCAAAAGAAAGAAACGGGGTGGGGGGGGCTCGTGGTACCTGGGAGTGGCGCAAAGGTTCTTTGGAGTCTGAAGGGAGCATGGGATGGATAGTTCTTTGTGAGGCTCACTTTATAGAGTCTTATAGGCAGCGAGACTACCTGTCCCATGCTCTTTTGAGACTCCCGTTGAACCCTTGTGCCAACAAAGCCCCACGTGGAGGTAACTGGGGAAGGGGAAACAGGACCTCAGTGTTTAAAAAGTTTTCTGCAGCAGATTAATTCTCTCTACTCTGGAAATAGCCAGAGTTCTGTTCACAAAGATGGCAACTCTAAAGCCAGCTAACTAGAAAGAAGCATTAAGGTCAACCCACAGAAATGTAGCTGTAAATTACTCTTGCAAATCATGGCTGTTGGCTGCCTTTTCTTCTCCATTTAACAAGTTCATAGAGAATTGAAGCTTTTGCTAGTTACCTAGCTTTAGAATCTAACTAGACTATGAAATGTATCTTTCAGCCTGAATTATCATTTTATGGCATGCCACTGCTAAAAGATAAACTCACCCACATTTATGCAGAACACGATCACCAAGGAGCCCTTGTGTAGCTGATGTGATAGCTTGCCTTCATGAGGCCTATGCACCTTACATGCTGTATGTTAAGATGGAGACATAGAAATGTAATGCATCCCCTTTATTGTATTTTTGTTCATCTGGTTAATCTCTCTCTCTCTGTTTTAGGAATGGGTAAAGAAGATGCAATGAAAGCATATATAGCAAAAGTACAAGAACTGAAGGAGAAATATGGGATGCAGTAAAGCCCCACCCGCATGCCTTAATGGAAACACGCCTTACTAATACTGTGTATAGTGAAATTATGTATTGCACAGCATGGCCGCGCCAAGCAGTTGGTGCCACTTTGGAATGAAGAGCTGTGTAAATCTACTTCTAATGGTTTATAAAATAAAACAATCAAGTTCATAAATTTGGCTTTTATTCCTTTAAGCGAGTTTTAACAAATTCTTCCCATCCACTTGCCATCTCAGTTACTGTGGGTCTTCCCTTACAGAGAGTCTCTTTTGCCTGCTAGGAAGCCACTCTGGCCAACTGTCTTCTGTCTGACTCAGCTGTAGAGACTGAGGGGATTGCACTGCAATCCTTTGAACGAATTGAGGTTGAATGTGGGTTGTGCGTAGAGCCCGGTGGAGGTAGCCTCATTAACCACAGCCCAACCAGAGACATTTATTGAGGTTTGTTGCTGCCTCTTGATTGACAGAAATATCAAGGGAGATCGGTCTGAACCATATGCAAAAAAATGTGATGCAAGATTGCAAGGTGCCTGTTTGATCATTATACAAACCCAGTAATTAGGTAGTTTTGTGCACTTAGCTCCTAGTGAAGGAATTTTATCTACTTGCCAGTAGCCTCTTGGACTAAATGCAGTGTTCCTTAGGCAGCCTTAAAGGTGTGAGATTTAGCAGGCTTCAGGGAAGCAACAGCAACTGCCTGTGTACAAGTGATGAAACATGCTCTGTTCAGTCACAGCTGTTTCCTTAAAATCAGAGCTTGTCACTTGGTCCTCGCTTTGTGTTGTCTTGTGTGGGTTCCTAAGGTAGAGTAGGCAATCCAAACTGCTCCAGATGTTTTGTATTGCCTCTCGCATAAGTCCCAGCAAACAAAGCCAACGGTTGAGGATTGATGGGTAAGTTGCTTTACAACCCTTCTGTGGACACCTGTTTCTGGAGAATTGGGTCATGTTGTGTACTATGTTGCAAAAGTCCTCTTCATCACCAGAGGGAGCCAGCTAGCTTTCAATGCAGAAATGAAAGCTCACTGGACCTTGAACATCTTAACTGCAGCTACTAAGCTTTACAAAGGGCTGTCCACATGTCTTTTTTTAGTATTGCATCAAAGAGAAAAATAAGGAGGATCTCTGCTTTCTAAAATGAGCATTCGTTATTCTGAAACCCAAAGTTATTGGTTCAGTCCAATAGATCTGTTTCACTCACTGTTTCGAGGAAACCAGAGGGATTTTGAAGCTCAGAAGTCTAGAGAGCAAGTAAGGTAGTTGGACACCTTACATAAGAAGTTTAAAGTACTGGGATTGAGAGACCTTCAGTATAACCAAGGCCACTTTCATTTTCTTGGAAGGCTCTCATCCCCTGGTCTCAATATACCAATATAAATGTAGGCTTCCACGATCTTACTATACTAAATGTTGAAGATGAATGAGTGTGGATTCTGGGTAGCATTGCTGTGAGATTAAAGCTGCGTATGGGACTGTTCTCATTTGTTGTAGTTGAGACTTATCATGGGTTGACCATTCAAAAATGCTTGGTCCTGGTCCTGCCTTTTACAGCTGTGTGAATAAATGGCTGGTGTGCATTATTTTAGCCTTATTTGTGCAGCAAATCATAATTTAAATGAACCAGAATATAGCTACAAAGACGACCTGCCTCAGAAGACATGGGTAGAAATTTTGCTCTTTTTTTCTGCTGAAAATTTCCCAGTTTTTCTGCCTCCCTATACTGTAGATGGAAAGCTAGTACACATTTTTCCATTTCAGATGAAGTCATTTTTAACATTAAAATAAAAGAAAAACCACTCCACACACCCAAATATTTCATTTGCTTTGACAGATTGCTAGCTTGGGAAGAGAAAATCTCCTCTGAAAATATGGGAAACGGGGATCTTCCCATTGCCCACTGTAGCCTATTGCCACAAAGTGGAAATTAAGCCCTTCTTTTATTTTAGATAGCACTAACTCTCTTCACAGTATTTTGAAAAAGCCAAATAAGTTTTCTTGTCAAACTTGCCACTACCAAGAGTATTCCTGACAGGGCCACGCTTGATGCTCATTCTCTGTGCCTGCCTGTCTTCGCAAAGCCCCTTGTATTCATCTGTCCAGCAACAGCCTCTGTGGCCTTTCTCCCAGAGGGGGTTACCAAGAGCTTCAGAAAGGATAAATCTAAGTGACTCCTGTAGAAGAGTTCTAGGCTGAATGCTTGAACATTGGTCATTTTTTGGAAATTTGACCTATCTACTCAGACCAGAGGGTGGGGAGATTCTGTGTCTGAAATTATTCTTTTTGAAAGGGTCTTCCACTGCCTTTCCTCTCACCGTTGGAATAGTTTTATCCAGAGATGAGTGTAAACATTATTTCCAGAACTGCAACTCCCAGAATACCCTAGCCAGCCAGGGGCCTGGAGTACTTTGTGAACTATAGCCCCAAAAGGATGACTGATCACATCTCAAGGTTTATTGCTGCCTAGTCATATTTTTTATAGTACCCACAACAATATACTGTACGAATGCTCCATGTGAGGAGACAGGGCCAGTTCTGAAAGCTGGATGGATAAGATGCACTGCCCTGAAAACAAACTTGCCCTGGAATGTAACTAAACCCAGTAAACATTTGTGTTCCCCCCACCTCCTTCCCACGCAATCTCTTGAGTTTGATTGTCATATTGTTTCACAATGTGTTGGCTGACTTGCCTTGTTTTGCACAGAGAAGCTTCTACTCGACATCCTGTTTTGACTTACTGCTTCATCCAAAGCAGGCAAGCTCTTCAGTCGTTTGAAGCGAACCAAAATGAAACGAGCTGCTTTCAGCCCAGCTCTTCAGCAGATTCCTTGTATGGCTTTAAGATCGAGTTACTTAATCTTTGCCCCTTTAGATCCTGAAAACCCATGTTTTATCTGTGCCAAATCGAAGCTGTACTCTGCACGGATAAAATGTGAAACCTTAACTGTGCCTTAATCTTTTTTGCTCATGTTGTGATGAGCAAAGTTCAAAACCTATTCTACAGCATAGCTGCAAGTATTATTTCAGTCCCATAGTTAGATGACAACCCTTTCTCTTTCCCCAGCATTGATATAGGAGGGCAACAGCACTGGCCTACCTCACAGAAGAGCTGTAATGATGGGAAAGTTACGGATGTAAATTGTACTGAATACGTGGGATCTGCTAAGCACAAAGCTATGTGGAAGAAAATGATGGAGCTTTTTCACTGACATTATTCTTTGGGCTCTGTTGCCTGGAGTGGTCCACCGAGGCTAGTATTTTCCACTCTGGTTGAAGGAACTCTCTGCCATGCCTTTCCCAGGACACTAGGGCTGCAGCACCTGAGTCCCTCAAGACATTTTGGACCATATCTCCCTTAATCCATTCCTGTCAGCAGTGTTGATTTGGATTTCTGGGAGTAAAGGATTTGATGGGTCAAATATTCCCTACCTCACAGGCGTGATGGGGATGGAACCTGGGATGCTATTTGTGCAAGGCATAGGATTTTATGTCTTTTGCTGGATCTGATGTCAATCTGTATGAACAAGCTGTTCAGAGTACTTTTCTAGGGATCTGTGATTAGGGAGTTCTCCTTCCTTAATCATACTCATAAAGACCTTGATTGCTGTGTTTGCAGGGCAGAGTTTGGACTTTGACAGCAACAATGCTGCCGAGACTGATAAAGGGTGTTTTTTAATTCAGCTTCACACGCTACAACTCAAAGCAGTAACCACTTGACCAATTAAGATGTGCATGCACAAGAGAAGCCCTTTTTATTAGTTTGGGGATAAACTTTTCTCGTAGTCCATCTAGCAACAATAAAACCACAGGGTGCAAGATCAAACTTTATTATCTAAGACCTTTAAAATACTCATAGGCATCCTTCAGTCTCGAGGGACTATGGTAACATGCTCTGAATCGAGGAGTGTCCTCTCCAGAGCATGAAGCCTGGGTAGAGTAATATGGATGATAGACTGTTAACCAAGCAGCAGATCCCCCCTCTCCACATTGCTGAAATAGTCCAATGGAAAGGCAAGAGCTAATACAACTGATTCCAGCAACTTCGCAGGACTTGGCAGAACAACATGAACTGCCTTCGGGACTCCAGCTCTGGATTTTGCCTCAAGGTTAACACCTGAAGCCTTTTCCAGGAGCGGATATAGCCACAAGGCAGTGGAGGTTTGAAATGGGAGTTTTCCTCATCGCAACATGAGCAAAAAAATAGGAAATAGGAAATAGGAAATAGACAATCTGTGTTGCCAGTATAGTAAAGTAGCCAAAATTCATTCCAGCTTGGATTAAATCAGGGTTGTGTAGAAGCAAAATAAATTAAAGCAAGGTTATTAGGTCCACAACCATTTCAGTTTTCAAATGTGGAAATGCAACGTGAGCCACAAGCTCCCTGGAGAAAGTACATCAGCCATCGTTTACAAGGAAGAACAATTCACAGAATAGGTAATAGGATAAGAAAAATCAATCTACCACAATAATAAAACAAAAGATCTGCCACAGATTTCACAAAATAAACAGAGAGGGTATCATGCTAAAGGCCAATGAAAACGTAAAACAAATCAGAAGGAACTAACGCAAGGACATGGTGTGGCCCAAACTGCAGTCCTATGCATGGCAACTTGAAACAAAGCCCTATTGTTTTCCATGAGATTTATTGCCACATAAGTGTGCACAGAGTTGCTATTTAAATAAAAACTTCAGGGATAAAGAAAGGAAAGCACAAGTGATTCATGCTGTGGCTTAATGTATTTTCTTGACACATACCCAACCATAAATAAAAGTAGATAGGTTCCTTAACTGGGATTAACCTCAACTTGTTTTTCCTAAAGTCTACAGCTATGATCAAGAAAACGTTTCATCAAAATGTAAGCTGGGTTAGTAGAGTTTGACATGTGTCACAGTTTAGGAAGTTCATGTGTGTTAAATGTGTACCCAAACACACACACACGCACACTTATAGTATAATCAAACCTAATAAAATTATCTCTGGGTGGCAGTGTCGGGAGAAAAGATAAACAAAAATAATTGTAAGTACTGTACTACAAAAGGAAAATATGGGTGCTGTTCTGAAAGCACTTACTAGGAAAAAAGGTCCATTAAAAAGCCGTGCTCTTTTCATTTGAGTAAGCAGGCCTGCAATTGAGCTGTCATTTCAGTTTACTGAAAAATGGGCAAACCATTCTGAAAAC